CATGGCTCTTTCCAAGATAATGATTTTCAAATGTATATGTGTCACAGAGGTGGTGTGGAAAGTCCTTCTGTAAATGTGTTGCTTTTATTGGTTAATGAATAAAGAAGCTGCTTTTGGCCAATGACTTAACAGACTATAGCCAGGCTGGAAAAGATTTATAGAGAGAGTAGGTAGAGTCAGGAAGAAGCCATGTAGTTGCCGCTGGAGACAGATGCCTCTACTGGAGCCTGCTGAAACTTTGCCAGTAGGCCACAACCTTGTGGTGATGTATAGATTAAAGGAGATGGGTTAGTTTAGGATATAAGAGTTAGCTAACGATATGGTTAAGCTATTGGCCAAACAGTATTGCAAGTAATGTAGCTTCTGAGTGATTATTTATGGTCTAAGTGGCTGGGGATGAATGAGCAGCCTCCCCCTACACAGAGGTAAGGCTCTAGTGTTGTCATCCTAGGAGAGCAAAGCAAAACAAAAGCCATCAGGAAAGGATCTAGAAATAGATAGGCCGTTCTGCAAATCCCAGAGAACTTTTCAATCATTCCTCTCCTTTTCAGTAGGCAATGAAAAATATATAGAAATATGACCACAGAAGTAATGCCAAATTCAACACGCATAGTATCTATTCAATATTCAGCAATACACATGTGGTGTTGCAGATGGTTGTGGGATGTGATGGTCTAATTCCAACAGTTCCAAAGGGGAAAACAGAATGTTATAAGACAACAGCCAGTCATTTGGTGCATCCTGATTGTTTAAGTGATGTGAGAGTCAGCAATCATGTGCAAATTAAAATATAATTATACACACAGAACATCCAGGATTAAGTCACATTTCAGAAATGTGTGTTCAAATACTAAACACCCTTTGAAATACATTGTGACCATGATTTGCTATTTACCCAAGAATATTATTACTTAAACAAAATACACAGGTATGGATTGCTTAATGCATTAGTGTGCATGATAAATTGGGAGGTGTGTAAGCTACTAAGCATTCATGCTACCCCAAAGGGTCAGAAAACAGTTTAGGTACATGTGCATCAACAGACACACTGTGCAGCCTGTCGTTACTCTTTTGGCAGTACATACTGCTTCACTCTGAGGGGGCTGGCTCAGTTTATTGACGATCTAATCAGTGTCACTTCACTCCATAAGCCCCAGCTGGACACTGTGTATTGACATAGCCCTGATGTGAGCTGGGCTATGCCTTCGTCTAGCCAAATCTGTGGTTATAGGCAGGAACATAGTGGTGGTAGACATGGTAAAAGTGAAGAGAGGCTGAGCTTGTGATGTAACGTAGGCGAGTGATTGACTCTTTATTGTTACCATTCTTCAGCACCCCTGGTCTAACTGGGCAGCTGTAAGGGAGGGAGCCTTAATGGCAACACCCTGGGAACAGTTTATACGTTATGGCCTTGAGATCTGTTTTCATTTCTCCACAGACCTCTGGACCAGACAAACCTCTATTATTCCTGTCTTCCCATGACACGGAAAATTCACAGTGCAGCTCGCTTTTTATAGGAAATCCTAAGAAGAAGTGTGTTCTTTTCTCCTTGAAGCACCCCTGAATCTTAATAATTCCTCCCAGCATCCAGGCCTTCATTGAGTAAGTCCCACCTTTGTTCTCTGTGTCAGAAGCCCGATTCATGATTCATTTCTGAGTACTCTTTCTCTCACTTCATATTTATGAATCAACTTTCATCCTCCACATAATTCAAGCTCTGCCCCCACCCCTTTGCCTTGGGAGTGAGCTATTAGTCAATACCAAAGTGAACAAATTAGCAAGTACTTATTGAATGTTAATCGTGTGTAGAACTCACAGAAAGCACAATTGAAAGATTTTTTTAAAAAAAAAATTACAATTCCAGCTGAGAAGGTTAAAGAGTGACAAATGAAGTAATTTGAAAAAAAAAACAATAAAATGGCTTGTTTTAAATAGCCATGAGACAATTAATTTATATGCTGTTTACTTCCAAAATTACCTTAACAAACATAAGTAAATCACGTGTATACAGAAAACCAACTGAAAAACAACAGGTCAAGACCAGGAAAATGAGGTAGAGGTATAATTTTGCTTCAAAGTTAGGGTCGTCTAATGCTACCATAGCATGCGGACAGGCTTCAAGACTCCCGGTAGCCAAGGCAAAAAAGAAAATGAGCATCCAGAGGTCTGCAGCTTTCATGTGTACTAAGGGGAAGTATTCTGCTTTACTAGGAGATGCAAACACTTCTACAGGAATTTATGATGTGGACCATCATATCAGAAATGTTGGACAACATTGTGAACGATATCTTCCACAATAATTTTTAGACAAACGGTGGAAATGGTATTTATTGGGTTGCTTCTTAAAATGTACACGATAAAAGTCACAGGCATTATAGCCAACATAACTCAGTGAAGATATTTCTGCAGAGAATGAAGTTAATGTGATCCAGGAATATGGTTTTCTATGCAGCCAGCAAGGATTTAATAAACATAAAGAAATAGATGATTGGTATATACTTTGATATACTTAACTTATATATAAGTGTATAACTTAACACTTATCGATTGCCACAACTGCCCCCTATCTGGAACTAGGAGTCAGTTGCTTTAGTGTTGAATACTGAAAGTACAATACTAAAGGAAAAGCTGTGTGTTTTAGAAATCAGTCCTGAACACATGGCCAACAGGTGTTTTGTTGTGTGATCTGGAACACTAAAGTTATTTTGCTGGGGACCCTAAGGAAGGCTTAAGACAGGAGCACATCTTTTTCTAGTGCCCATATACCAAGACAGAAAGATGAGTTTTTGGTTAGGGTATTAAAGGGTGTTTGTGTAGATTTTAACAAAATACCTGAGGTCACAAGCTTACAAAGAGGAAAGGTGTATATTTTTGGTTTGTGACTTTGATGGTGTCAGTCTATGACCAGCGTGTCCTGTTTAGAGCCTGAGATGCCAGCATATGGAGGTGAAAGCACCTGGTGTAGCCAAGCTGCTTGTCCCATAGCCAGAAAGCAAAGAGGGAAATAGCAAAGGGCCAAGGTCCGAAAACACACCCTGAGGCATATACCCAATAACCTAAGAACTCCTGTGCTAGCCAGCTTCCAACAGTCTCACCCCTCCCAGCAGCATTGCCCTAGAGATCCAGCCTTTCCCACAGGCCTTTTGCATACTCAACACCCGAATTAGAGCAGTGTGTTTGGGACAGGAATCGGGAATAATGGCATCCCAGCGCCAGGTGGTCCAACAGTTCTTCACTCACGATTCAGGCCTCCGCAAATTTCCTATCCCAAGGCTACTTACAGGCTTCTCATCTGCCTAAGTAGGAATATATTAAAGGACACATGATGAATGTTGCAGCTAGATTTTGGTTGACCTGACTGGATCACTTTTTATTAGAAACAAAGCCCTGGAAATGGTGGCCTTTCATATGACAGAGCACTAAGCTGCCAGGATTTCACTGTCGGATTCTGATGGGGCGGCAGGGGCAGAGTCAGCTAGAATCCTTCCTGCAAATAACTTTCGAGATGGCCTATGAAACCTCCCAGCTCTACCCCTGGGGACTCACTCTTTGAATTTCCTGTCTTTAAGAGTTTACTCTCAAAAAAACTTCCAGAAAGGAGAGCAAAGGATCTATTCCTATAGTCAGAAGGAGCATCCATTTCAGAGATCCTAAAGTTGTTGCCTGCAAACTGAAGTTAGACCGATTGATTGACGGCACAAACTTTTCATGTAAAATTCAAACTTCCAGAGCTCTTTAAATAGTTGCACGTCTGGCATCAATGGGCCGGTATTAGCTTGGTTTTGTTTGCTTGGTTTGATGAGAGATTTTTAGAAAAGGCTATAGCTCAGGCTGGCCTGGAATAGCTGAGGATAGCCTTAAATTTTCTATCCTTGCCGAGTGCTGGGATTGCAGGTATATGCCAATATACCCAGCTTATGCAGTGCTAAGGAGTGTCTCAGGGTTCTGAGCATGCTAGACAAGCACTCTACCAACTGAATTGTGTCCCTAGCCTGGTAGTAGTTTATATGTCAATCAGCTGGAGCAGGAAGACCCCTGCCCACCAGTCACAGCAGGGTTCCTGTGTTTTTCCCTGTATGCTCCAGAATCTTCTGCTGGGCTCAGTTTATCTACATTCTCTGTGCATTTGAGTTTTAATCCTTGAACATTCATATTTTGTCCCAAAGAGGGGATGAGACCTTGATCAAAGTCATATACCAAATTCCTGACAAAGCCAAGAATTAGCACTGCCTTCCCAAGTCTCCCAGATCTCTGCACCACAAATTGAAGCCCTGAGCAGACTGAATAGGACTGTGCAGTCTCACGACCAGGAAAGGACTCAGGAACATGCCAGAGACAAGCTCCATACCATTCACAGAAATTTGCCCCAGGCTGGCTCTGCCTGCTATAATATTTGACAGCATTCTTCAGAAAAATCAATTTGTTTAAAACAGTAACTGAATTTACCCAGGATGAAAATGTTTGGCATATGCAAAGGAGGCCTCACATTTCCTTTAAAGCCCTTTCTAACCTATGAATGAGCTGAATTATTTACCATATATACATGCCCAACAAAACTGTTGAAGTCTATTTTCTTGGGGGAGGGACATTTAAAATTTAAGAGCATGAGAATTTAGTTCTCTAAGAGCATTTCTGCCAGCACACAATGTCTTTCTTTGTTATAACATTTGAAAGTATGTTTGTCACTATTTTGTGCTGGAAAAGAAAAAGAGGAGGAGGAGGTGGGAGAGAGAAAGAAAAGCTCATGATCCTGGGCTCTCATTTAGAAGCAAAGCAAAATGCAGGGAGGAGGGGAAGCTGGAAGGAATGGCTCTGCCTAGATGAAGAAATCACAGGCAGAACGCTTCCAAGCTGCTAAACACCAGAAGGAGATAGCAGGCAGCGTGTGAAATGCCAATTATGACGGAACTATAATGGAAAGAGTCCTAACAGCAGTCCACGCTGCGCTTTGGAAAGCCTCGAGTGCCAAGCAGACTGAATCCTCCAGCGTCGGTGCTTGAAGCTGGGTCTTTCCTTACCTGGGAGCGCTGTGGTTCCAGGGCCTCGGTCAGGTGGGAAGCCCTAAAGCAGCTCTCCAGCAAAGACGCCATCTGTCCCCCTCTGCCATGCTAAATAAATTGGCTTCTTGGCTGGGGCACACCCAAGTTCCCCACTTTTCCCAGGTCAGTCTCTTAATGAGTCCTCCCCACTGTGTTCACTGCACATGGCTGGAACCTTTGCTCCTCTTTCCTGCTTCCATCTTTCACCTCCAAGCAAGACTCCAGCCTTCTCTTCAGTTCTCTCCTCCATAAAACCTGGCCCGTGGAACTCCAGTCAATCAGACTTCTATTTTCCTTCTCCTCGCTGCTGGCCTGGTGCAGCTCCTTCCTGGCACTGACAATACTCGGGCTCACTGTGCAGCGCTGGTTCAGCTGTCACTATTCTAACTGGATTGTGAGTTTCTTCAGACGGGAACAGTGGCTCGGCTGTTTGTGCCTACCAGATCTCTAGGGTTTTGTTGCTGTTTTGATTTTTTTTGTCTATAACCATTTGATAAATGTTTAATGGAGTCTAGTTTTATTTTAAAAAGCGTACCATGTGACTGGAATGAGAAGGACTGTGTGATGCCAGGAAGGAAGTATACTACTTCATCGTGAGACACTGCTGTAGGTCACTTGGTCAGTTTAATACAGCTCAAAGTGGGCTTCCCTACCCCATGCCATCTCATCGTTCCATCCCCAAGGGCAGCACATGTCCTGGCACCTGTGTGAGAGATATAAATGGACCAGGTTGTGGTGCTGTTTCTTTTGTATTTTAGTAAATAAAGCTTGCCTGAAAATCAGAGAGTAAAACAGCCACACTGGCCAGCCTCACAGACAAGGCAGTAGTGGCACACACCTTTAATCCCAGTAGCCACACTAGTTTGCCATAGAAACCTGGTGGAAGTGGTTCACAGCTTTAATCCCAGCACTAGAGAGAAATACAAGATGGGAGGAGACAGATCTCAGGCTTGACTTGAGTACAGCTAGCTCAGTCAGTAGAACATGGGACTCTTACTCTCAGGGCCGTGGGTTCATGTCCCACATTGGGTGCCACCAGTTTTAGTCCTTGACATTTCAGTGTCCTTTTCTCTGTCTGGGGGTATCCTTCTGAGGCCTCACTACCCTGTCATCCAGCCTGGCCTCCTCTCAGATCACACTATCAACTGCCCTTTCTCATACTTCCCTGGCCTCCTTCTAGAATAAAAAATGATTTAATTTTTTTCTGTTGTGCTAAAGCAAAAATACCCTTCCTTCAACTCTTGTTTCTCCTCAGGCCTAACCAAGCTCTCCTGCTTACCCATAACCTCAGCCTCTGTGATGACTGAACTTCTCATCCCAAGAAATGAATCATCCTCACAGGGGCTCAGCCCAGCTCTTCAGGACCCTTCCCTTGACGTATCTAGGCCTCTCATAACGCCATGCCTCAGCATTTTCCCATGACCCTTTCATTCCTGTGACCCTTGTGCTGTCTGAACTAGCAACAGTCAGTAGCGTAGGGAGTTCTGAAAATGGCTGTTTCCTTCTCCAGACATACAATTCCCAATGGTTCAATCCTATTCTATCTCAACAGCATCTACTCACCATTTCTACTGCCCTCCGACCTTGAGGACCTTAATGACTCCCAAAGGCAAGAGGAATTGAACAACAGGGCAAGCCAAGCTATTGGATTCCAGAAGCCCTCCCCAGGTTTGCACCATTCCAAACTGAATACAAGGCCTCTCTTGAATTCAATATCAGCCCATCTCTCTTCGTGACTTGCGTCCTTCCAGTTGCTCTAGCCTTCTGCCTTCTGCTTTGGTACTCTGAGCTCTCTTCCTGTGGTTGATTTGCCATATTTCCTGCCCCAAACTCTTCCCCAGACACTGCCCTCCATAGTTTAAGCCTCAGCTCAATAGTCCTCTGCATACAGCTCTTTTCTTCACTTCCTGTTTAAAGGACACACTGACTGCCACCTGCTGTCTGTCTTAATTACACAGTCTGCTGTTTGCTTCTCAATATTCAACACTGGTTTGGACATATCTGAAGCTATGATGTCATTGTGCTAATTGTGCGAAGCCCATTCCCCTACCATTCTGCCATGAATTTCACCACGGCAGACATCACTTTTGTTTTGTTTTTTTTTTTTTAACTTTACCTCAGAATTGAGTGCTGGGCCTTGAACAGGGGATGGGTCATCTTCCTTGCAGCTGGCAGGTGGCTCCTCTCCTCTCTGCAGTGTTCCACACATTCACCACATGGCTGTCTGCACAACCAGCCTGTTCACTTTACCCACACTTGCCTAGAAGCTTCTCCATTTGCTTTCCCTCACGCTCACCCATGTCCTCTCTGTGAGTACGGTTTCCACTGCCTGGAAGATGTGGCTCTCATTTTTCTTAAACTGGTAAAATATTATGACTTCCCCTGTTAATATGTGTTAAAATGATTAAGGATTAATATTAAAAACAAATAGAGCAAAGCATGATGTCAAGTAGAGCCTCTCAAACTGGAATCAACAGAGCCCTGGGGAACTTTTACATTTTATGCTTTCATTTTGATATCAATCTTTTAAAAGTAGTACTTGGTAACAGCGTATCTTGCTTTATCAAGTCAGCCACCTCATAACCGAGTACTCTGCATTGCCTGCACTGTATTGCTTCCACAACCTTGGTAGCAAGGGGACTCTGCTTATATGATATGCTGTCACCAGTAAGCAGAGACCTCCTCCCCTACCTCCTCTATGTCCCTCCCTATCACTTCTCCATCCTTACCCCATTGCTTCCCCCCCACCTCATTATGCTCCCTCTTCTCTCATTAAGACCTCTGCTCCACCTTTTTGTAATCACACTTCTAAAAGGTGTGTGTATATGTGTGGTGTGTGTGTGTTTGTGAATGGTATGTGTGTTTATGGTGTGTTTATGTGTGTGTGGTGTGTGTATGTGTGTGGTATATGTGTGCATGCATGTCTGTGTGGTGTGTGTGTGTGTGTGTAGTATGTGTATATGTGCATGCGTGCGTCTGTGGTGTGTGTGTTTGTGTGGTGTGTGTGTATGTGTGTGTGGTACGTGTATATGTGCATGCGTGCATCTGTGGTGTGTGTGTTTGTGTGGTGTGTGTTTGTGTGTGTGGTGTGTCTGTATGTATGTGGGGGGGTGTTTGTGTGTGTGTGTGTGTGGTATATGTATGCATGTGTGTGTGTGGTATATGTATGCGTATGTGTGTGGTATATGTGTGCGTGTGGTGTATGCATGCATGTGTGTGTGTGGTGTATGTATGCGTATGTGTGTGTGGTACGTGTGTGTGTGTGGTATATGTATGCGTATGTGTGTGTGTGTGGTGTGTCTGTGTAGTGTGTGTGGTGCCATGTGTGTGTCACAGATACTAAAAGGTAACTGGGGCCCTTCAGTCTTAGACCCGGTCATTTACAAAGGTGAATGCTCAAGTTATAGACAATGCCTGCATTTTACAAGTTGTTCTGGAAAACAGAGAAAGGGAGAAAGCCAATTCATTTCAGAAAGTTGATACCATTGTGGGCCTAAGGTTGAGTAAGGACAATTATAGGGACAAAAACAAAACAGATTTGTTACATTTAATACATATAGAAAAAACTCCTAGAAGAAGCAGTGACTATTGGAATAAAATAGCGAATTGAAGAACTACCACCAAGTAAGAGTTAACACACGAAGAAAGTATTTAAACAGAGAGATCGATCTGCTTCAAATCACTGATTGTGGATGAAAAAAAAAATAATTGTACTAACATTTTAATATAGTCAAAGTATTTGCTGAAGCATAAATCTACCTATTTAAAAATGACTTGAAAAATAAGACCAGACCTTCCTCAGACTGATAAAGTTGAATACTAACGACGTTTTGTGCCCTTAAGCAAATAGATTACTTTATATTTCTGAATGAGAGCATTTTTATCAGTGAGTCAGAAAAAGAATTTTTGAGCAAAATTTGAGTGGGACAAGAAACAAGATGAAAAATTAATACATTTAATCACGTCAAAATTAAAAATCTCTCCTCACTGGTGACCATGAAGAGTAAAATCCACAAAGAGGTCATGAGCATGAAAATGAATTTTTCAATTTATGAAACCAGGAAGAAGTGAACATCTGCATTATTAAATAATTCCTGCCAATTAATAGAAAGGAAACCTAGGAGAAAAGTAGGAAAAACCCTATGGGCAGAGAATTCACTGCAGGAGAAAACAAATAGGTTAACACGTGTTTCTAAAGATAGCGAACCCCTCCATTGATTTTTTAAATGCTAATTAAAACAGTGAAGTAATACCTCACACCTATCAAGTTAGCAAACATTTTAAAGTCAGACACTAGGCACTGTTGGTAAGAAGTGACAGGGGGACACACGTAATGTCACGCTCCTTGCTGCTGAGAGTGTAAGTGAGCACCATGGTTGCGGAGAACACAGCTGCAATGAATGCTCCAGGCAGTTTATTTGAGGACCACCAGGCCAGTTCTGGGGACACACTCCAGGGAAACACTCAGCTGGAACTACAAGGACACTGGCAGAACTCTATTTGTGGCAGCCAGCAACTGGAGGGCGCCTAGGTGCCCCATGATGTATCTTCACCAATGGCCTCCTGGCCTCTCACAACACCATGCCTCAGCATTTCTCCGCGATCCCTTTACTCCTGCAACCCTCATGCTGTCTGAACTAGCAACATTCAGTAGCACAGGGAGTTCTGAAAACGGCAGTCCATGAGAAAAATGAGACACAGGATGATTCTATCCATCACTCAATATATACACCAACTAAAACCAAACTGCAAAACGCCATCTATATTTATTTGGCAATAAAAATTTAAAAGATGTCCAAGGACATGCAGTTAGGGTATGTGGGGATAGGAGGATGCTGGGACAATAGGGACCAGGGAGCAGAGGAGAAAATTTACAAAGAATAGCATGAGAGTCATTTGCTATGGGCAAGTTGGGATAGTTTGCCATGATTTGAGAAATGTAATTAAGTCAAATTTTCTAGCTTGAGTTTTCAGAAAAGGACACATGTGCTACAGACACTGGGCCCCCACACAACAGACACAGCTCTCTGGAAGGGGGAGGAACTGGCGTGGTGCTACTCAGTAGTCAGCCTTGCCGTTCACTTTGCAAACAGATATTTATTCTGAGAGTGATAAGTACAAATCAAATTCATCTGATGTGATTAACTTGAAGGTGCATTTTTTTTAGTTTTGATTTAATTGATAGATTTGCTTGTTGTTTTATAATTATACAAGCACTGGGAATGTATACCTGGTTTTCTGTTCATAAAAATTTAAGCATCCTTGATCACAAGTATAATATAAATCCTGAGTTACTGAGAATATATTTCCATGGGGATTTTTTTTTCCTTGTTACCTTGTGTCAAATGCCGCTTCCGAAGCTGACGTTTTGTGCCCCCGGGATCTGAGTGTTATCTTCTGGCAAGCTGGTTTGATGCCCCAAATGTGCAGAAATGCCTTTTGTTCCTTCCATACTTGAGAGTATTTCTGCAAATTCTCCCAAATCCTTCTGCTTATTGCCTTTCACGGCTCTCAGACACCCAACTGGGTGTGTACATGTAAAGTTTTATTTTTTTCCAAAATGGAAATGTTCAAGAGCAAGATGCTGATTTAGCTGCAGAAACTTGGAGATATTTGAAAAACATCAAAAAGTAACTGAGTGATGGACAAACAATGCATAGGTGAAGAGATAAAGGAATTTTATTGAGTGGTCTTCCTGGGGAAGATGGGTACTATATGGCCTCTCTACATCCCAATATATTATTGTCTTTTTTAGTTACTCATGGAGAAACACTACTGCCTCCCATGGAGTCTCTTGACTTTGTGGGGCTACTCAATTTACATATTGTTGCAAGAGGATCATTATCACAAGATCACATGTTACACAACCCCAATGTCCAGTGAAGGTGAGCTATTCTACACTCATTCCTAAGGGTTCATCCCTCCTTGGGAATGCTCCCCACTCCTCCTCCTTTCTACCTAGCCTCTATCTGTAAAATGGCTTTTAACTTCTACAAATATCACTGCAAAAGTATTCTTTCTTCCACCAAGCATATGGAACTTCCTCCTTTCTCTCCTCTGCCTGTTTGACATTGATGACTGGCTTAGGGTAACAGTGTGTTGATATTGCATAAGTGCTATTGCATGTTGGTATGATAATGGCTTATTATTGTCCCAGTCCATGCACTCATGCACATGAAACTCATTATAGGCAGCAAATATGCCATAAATGGTCCATGAAATAAATAAATACCCAATTTTGTCTCTTTTAAACTGTAAAATCTACCCCTTCCCCTGGAATATTAATTCCTTACTGGGGTTCCATATGTTTTCCCATTCATTCATCCCATGTCCAACTCAACAACAACAAAAACATTTAGTTTTTTTTATAAGAAGATCATTAGCATTGTCCTCATTTTACAAATAACCCAAGGCTCAGAAAGGCTATATTCTGTTATTCAGCAGAGACTCAAACCCAGCTCTGCCAGGTTCTTCATTTAGTTCTGCTATCACAACACTAGATAAAACAGAATGATACTGGTGAATGCTGAGAGTCTTCAAGGTCATGGTCCCCTCAAAGAGGATGGGGCACGTGCGATAATACTTGGAATATCATGAAGGATTATTATCCATGTAACTATTATAATGGTTGTAATTACTACTGCATCTCCCATCACCATTAGCAAAGACCCAGTATGACCTTACTTGATAAGTTGTACTAGCCCTTCTCTGAGCAGGGGCCAATGCCCTGGCCTGCAGAAAAAGAAAAGTGGGCAGGGAGATCTCAAAGGCTGGTCATTCTAATGAGGAAATTCGTCAGGGTTAGGTAGGGAGTTGGGATGGGGATGCCTGTCCTGGACAGCCTTATGTGATTATGCTAGCTCTTCTATACACAGGTTTAGGCACTAGGGTCAAGTTCTGGAATCACCCAGGGTTCTGATACCAAGCCTTTGTGCCTGTACAGGAGGGTATGTCAAAGAGGAAAGAGCAGAGTCACATTAATATACCAAGTCATGGGTCCATTCACCCAGACTAAGCACCTTTAAAAAAAATCTGTCCTCACAGTAAGAGTGCAAGGGAAAGACTAATTTTCTGCCAGCCCCCATCAGCACACCAACCTCTCTGTCAGTCCTGGATGAACCCTGAGGTGAGCACAGACCCAAAGTGGTCTTTCCTGTATTGTAAGACAAGCAGAAAAACCCCTGCCAGCTAATATAGGGCAGTCATCAGCTGTCAGACAAAAATATTTGTCAGTTCCTGCTGACTGGAGCTGGGTCGGAACCAGTGACTACTTCAAACAAACCCCCTGACTCCAAAGCAGCCAGCATGGCACCGCCTAGCTCCTGATGATTGTTTAGACCTGAAGTTGCTGTCACTGGTGACTGGGACTCAGACTTAAACCTGAAAGGGCTTGGACCTTCCACTGATCCATTCGACCATTTGGTGCTCTTCTGTCTCAATTAGCCTGGTCTGGGGGTGAGGGTGTTACCAGATGAGATGAAAGCAGTACCAATGATGTGACATCATAGCACAATAGAGCTTCGGGTCATACCAGCCCTATCCTGGGAGCCAGCAGAGGTGAGATGAGGACTCTGTTAGATACAAGGCACTTGCCAAGGGGTGGGTCATGTTTCGAGCGAGGCTGGCTGTATGTGGCTGTGTTTACGTTGTGAATTACTGGCAGTATGTGTGCTTCACATTGTGTGTGCACTTTAGGTACATATGGCTGTGTACAACAGGACATGGGTATGCTTGTGCGTGTCTATGCTTTAGAGTCTGTAGATGTGTCTGTGTGGGTTTGTTCTAGCAAGTTTGGTGGCGGGGGGTAGGTTCTAGCAGAAAGGCAGGACACGTGAAGAAGGCAGAAATAGGTGGGCACAGGGAGGAGGAAAGACAGACACTGGTGAGGAGTTGGAATGATAATGGAAAGGGGAGATAATTACCCTAAGGGTGGATGGGTCTTAGAAGTAGAAGACGACTAGAACATTTTGAAGGATGCTCTGAGGGCCCCATTGCTGACCCAGGTTAGTGAATGGAAAGGAAAGCAGTGGCTGAAGCAGAATACTATCTAACATAGGTGGCCTCGATGTACTACACAGTATCATTAAGAAAGCATGGATTGTGACAGATGACAAGTCCCTTGAGTACTCAGCTTAGAACCTTGAGCCCACGGCCAACTCTCGAAAGCCCCAGCCCAGGACTCTCCCTCTCAATCCATTCCTAGAGAGAAGCACATCTCAGGGTGTGGAACCACACCTGCTGCATCCTCATCCTAGTTAAGTTAGCAGCCCCTCCGGTAAGCAGGACACAGTTCCCACCAGACTGGAACTCTGCGGCATCTGTATGAGCATCTGTGCCATCCGGTACAAGACAGGGAGGAGGCACTGCCTCCTTCTGCCTTCACAGGGAGCAGAACTGAGATGGGAAGCTGATACCAGGGTCTACTCACTCCATATATTATCCTGAGGACGTGAGGGACTGAATGAAAAACATGAAGACCCAGGAGGTGAGCCAGCCGTACAGGTGGGCAAGTCAGTCTCTGTGCTGTACAGAATGCTGAGAAGGCCAAGGACAAGTACCACCCTATCCCTGCCACCACTTGTGGTCCTGGGCACGGAAGTTCTTGCTGGAAACTTTGTAGACCATCTTTCAAATAAGAATATTGTTCTCAGGTGGTTCTAGGAGCTAGGACTTTTTCAAAGTCAATGCCTGAGAGCTGGCAGTGCTTCTTCCCTTCCTCTCCCTTCAGTCATTCACATCACTCAAACCTTTGACTGGGTCACACACACTTCGTGATAAACACATCCCCATTGATTCCTTGAAAGCAGAGGTTTGCAGACAGGGATTTCTCTTCTCTCCAAAATCAATATGAAAAGATAGAATTTCTCTTTCACTCCCTTGCTCATCCCTGGAGCCCATTTTGAGGACATGAACTAGAGTGGAGAAGGAAAAAGAACGCCAACAAATTCAAAGCGTAAACTAGACACACAATTTCTGGGTTTCACATAGATTTTTTTTTAAAGAAACTCTGAGCTGAGTTAGACTGCAGGAAGGTAGGTACCAAATGCCTGGTGAAAGGTTCAAACAATCCATACTGTTCAGGTGGGTAGAGGGGAAAGGAGGAGGATGGGTATAAAAGTCTGTGTCTATATACCCCATCCACACAGTTTTAAGAGTGCTAAGAATTCCACTGGTTAGAAGCCCTAACCAGTGGCTTAGACCTCTGCTGGGTAGGGCTGGGCAGGTAGAGTAATGTGGCAAAGAATCATCTTGCCAGGAAGCCTCAAACTGCAGATACTCAGATTGGAAAGGATCATGGGTCTAGACAAAAAAAAGGATGAACCTCAAGCTTACTGGAAAATGCCTCCTTTAATCTAGTATAGATGGAAGAAAAGGCCAAGGAGTTTGTTGAGGATGAGTGTTAGCCAGAAGCCAACTGCCCCAGAGGTCCTGCGTTCTGAGTGCTGCAAGGATGGAGAGAAGTGACAGAGAGGCCCACAGACTCCACTTCTCTCTTAATTGGGCATGTTGACTCACCTAGCACCTCCCTTCAAAACCCTCAGAACAAACCCTTTAGAGGAAACCAGGACAGCCAGAATAGAATCCTCATGGCAGAAGCTTCAGGACGTAAAAAACAAAAGGGCAAGGAGCTAAGTTGAGCACTGTTTCCTTCACCCCCCCCCCCCCCAATCAGATCGAAGGTGCCCTCTGTTATACTCTCTCGCCACAGCCATGTCGAGGGACAGGGGCCTGAAGTGTATAGACTCACAATGTCTTCTCCTGCAGAAGGCTTTCCTTTGACCACAAAGGCCTGGGTGCCCCACAGAGACCACAGCTACAGAAAGCAGTGTTGTGTGCCTGAAAACTGGCAATATCCCAGTAAGGGGGGTGGGGCAGGTGGTGGGTCACTAGGAAAACACAGGTGCTTGAGCAATAGGACAATTTTGATGGCTTTATCTTTCCTTCATTACTCATCTTAACTTTTGTCATGGTGATTTTTTTTCTGAAGATAAATTTCAGAGATGAACCTTGGGAGAGTACCAGAAAATGAAGGACCACTGGCCGAGACACTCATTGTATGCTAGAGACCTGGGTTCTCCTCCCAGTGCTGACAACCTGAGTGACTTCCAGCAATGCATACTAATCTCTCCCAATTCAGTTTCCACACAATTACAATGAGGGCATTTAATTACATAAACTGGCCTAATAAAGAAGCTTGTGTGAGATATGACTCAGAAGCCCTGGACAACTTGGGTGGTGAGGCAGGACTAAATGCAGACATAGTAGACCAGCATTTGTCATTGAGCTGTTTCTTTGATTCCTGCAAGACTCAGGCCAGCATAGGAACTGAACACAGTGGCAGAGATAGTTCCTTCAGTCCCATGGAACTGTAGAAGGAATTGTAGATTTCCTTATTGTCATTGGCCAGTCAAATCTCTTCACATTTCTTTATGCCTCTGTCTATCAGTAAGATACCTTGTACAGCCCCTGGGCTCTCTATGAGTACCAAGTGAGGGTGGTTATCAAAGGTCTTTAAGAAGCATAGGCCTTCAGTGTTTGTTCACTGAGTATTTACGGAAATCACAAAAACATGTCCAGTACAATCATAGACACTGGAAAGGAAGGAAACCCACAGTTCCTCAAAGTATGGAGCTCCTGTTAGATTTACCTGATAGGAATGGGTTTAGCAATTAAAGAGATGAGCAATGGAACATGGGAGGTGTGGAAGCAGAAGGGTGCAGCAAGGTTTTGTAAGGGAAGGAGAAAGGCAGCAGGTGGCATGTAAGAACAAAGTATGGCATATATAATAATATGGTTGAGGATGGCATGTGGTATTATTTTCAAAAGGAAGCAAAGACAGTAGGATATCTCTGTGGGTAAAGGCACTTCTATTGAGCCTGATGACCTGAATCTGATCCCGGGAACCCACATGGTGGAAGGCGGGAACTAACTTCTGCAAGTTGTCCTGTGAACTCTACCTTCACAACATGATAGGTGAACATGCACACATGCCACATGCATAGGGACAGACAGACAGATATGTACATAGATGGGTAGGTAGATAGATATGTACATAGGAAGATAGATGACAGACAGGTAGGTAGGTAGGTAGATAGATAGATAGATAGATAGATAGATAGATAGATAGATAGATATTAAAACTGTGAAGAAAAGAAACATGAAAGTAAAGGGACTAACAGAAGAAACATTGAGTGTTCTGAGTCAGTAAAGGCTTCCCAAGAATGGGAAAATGTTGGTACCTCTTCTGCTGAGCAGGCTAAGGCTTCTAGGGAAGTAGAACCAGGATTTGGACCCTAAGATAGAAAGGAAGCACCAAATAGTTTGGGTCTTCAAGGATGAAGGACATGATGTTGGTCATACCAGCTCGTTACCACAGCATTCATCCTGGAGAATCAAGAAGTTTTTGAACATTATCTCTAGCAGTGCCTCCAACGATGTGTTTATTCCACCATCACCAGCATCCACTCACAGAGCCCTGCTCTCCACCAACTTCAAAGAGTACCAAGGACTCCAGTCAGTAGTAAGACTGGAGGCTTTGGAGCCATTGTGGAAGGAGTCCCCTTGCAGAGACGCTAGATCTGCAATAGTGAAGCAAATCTGAGTCACACCAGCTCAAACTGACCTGATAAGTAGCAGATATGAGCCAGCCTTAGGCTTTTGAGAAATGACAAAGTAGAGGTTGCTTTCAGGAGCTCCATGGTGGTATAAATAAATTGTGAGACAGGAACTCAGAACAGGGGTGGGGCATCCAAGTGACACTTCATTTCAGGGACATTTAGGAAGGCTTTGTGGAGCTAGAGTTCCTTCTTACCCTGTTCTACACTGTGCCTCCAGCTCCATCCAAGGGCAGCCCTGTAGCCTTTAACATCACAGTGGGAGTAAAACTAATGTCTTCCCTTACCAAAGGATTGGCTAAAAATCCCCGATCAATGAAGGAAAACTTAAAGAGATTAGGGTTGCTGCCATGATGTACCGGCTTCTCTCCCTTCAAGAACATTCTCTCCTGAGTTTGTTTTGATCTTTCTATTCTCTTTGTCTTCTTCATTTACTATCTTTATCTCCCCTCTCTTATTTCCCTCCCTCCCCGTCTCCTTCCAAGCTCTTTTTCCAAACTTAGAATTCCATTCCTACTCCTTTGTTTGCTTTCCTCCCATATGGCTCTAGGCATCTCAGCTACACATCTTTCCAGAGCAGATATAGTGTCTACCATAGCCACTCTTGGGCTCAGAGAGGACGATGCACTCAATATTTATAAACTCAGAAGCAGGCAAAGCTAGTCTCTACATAACCTGCAAGGGGAAATTGTAATTCGTGTTCTCAGATTGACACCACTCCAACCAAAGGTGAACGTTTGGAAGAAGGAATCGGGTTAGAACATTGAGATTATAATCAGAAACCACAGATGAGCACGTAGAGGAGGCAGATTTGGGTCTTGAACATTTAGAGTAGTGATAGGCACTCAGGGTTTGAGTGAGAATGACCAAGACAATGTCATGGTATTTAATAACGTCCTGTGTTTACCACACAACTCAGAGTTTCAAAGTACTTCCCTATGTGGCCTGCTTTATTCTTCTTTTATGATCTCTCATTCTGTAACAGACCCTGTTTACCTACCAGACACTACTATGACTCTTATCTCTTTCATCAAGCCTAGTGGATGCCCCTTGCTCTGAGCACCCACATCTCATGATTTGGCACCTGATAATTTACTGTCCTGTCTTTCGGACTTATCTCCTTGTCTTGCAGAATCATCATCAGGATCCGACGTGTCTAGTGCTTCTTCTGTACCTCTTCAGAGCCTGGCTTGGTGTGGGCACCTGCCAACCAAACATTCAAGCATTCAAGAGGCTGGGTGGAGGGTGACGCTGACGATGTTGCTCATGTGTTCAAGGTCAGACTGAGCTATATAATGGGGTTCTGTCTCAACAAAACAGAAGAAAATGAAGATGATAGAAGAAGAGAAAGGGGAACAGGAGGAAGTGGAGGGAAAAGAAGAGTAGGAAGAGGAAGAGAAAATAGAATGAGGAAGAGGAAGAGAAAGTGATACAGACTTTGTCTAACTCAAGACCTATGGAATTATCAAGCTACATGTTTAATGGGATCTCCAAGTGATATCTATGCCCATTCTTCCCCTTTGAAAAGCATTTCATTTCAACCAGTTTTAACGGGAGCAGATTCTGAGTTCTCCACTATAGGAATGTGGGTTGGATGCACCCCTGCATACCATGTATCCAAGAAATCTGTATGAGTGACATTACCGATAAAACATCTTGTCTGAGAAAAGAAGCCAGGATGAGAGCTCCAGAGTAATGAAGTAGGCATCCTAAACAATGGAGGTCTTAAACAGTGGACCTCTGTTTAAGCAGTCATGTGATCTGCACGGTAGTTGTTGGGGAGAAATGTCTTGTTATAGGAATGTCAGTGCTGCTTCTTGACAAGCATTATGGTTCCTTCAATGCTACCCACATACACAATATGGTGTCTCCACAACAGGGAGGTAATGTTCTTTAACCACGGCTGATCTAAGACCCTGAGTCCCAGGATACAACCCATGCAGGCAGGAGATAGAGAGTAGCTCAGCTGCCCAACAGTGGGAAGAAGGGGAGCAAACCATGCTGGCAGTCACCTGGCATCTCAAAGAAGCCAGAGGCTGGCCCTGAACACTACTGTAATAGGCATAAGAATTGCTATTTAATAACACCTGCCATGATTAGCACCATGCAAATAGTACATATATCCTCCCTAATGATCTCAACAACTCTATAAGACAGCAACATGGCCTCCCCTTTAAGAATGAACAAGCTGAAAGAAGCAAATGACTTCTGTGCATTCCACTGAATGGTGAGAACTGTACTCTGATATACTTACCTCCAGTCTTGTGGTCTCCTAGGCCCCTGTGTCTCCTTGCCCAGCAGCATACAGATGCTCTGGGATGGCAGTCCCAGGCCTCTGCAATGGAGAAGGCTCCAGGGCTGAGTGAGATCCACACTGGGAATGACTGCCTGCCAGGATCGTGCTAGATTTATTAGATGCCCTCCCCATCAAAAGCCTGAGCATCTGCTTCTGCCTTGGTTTCCCCATATTTTTCCCAGCAGGCAGTGGGAAGTGATAATGAATTATCTCACTAGGGGCTGAGAGTGATGAAGAGATAATGAGAGAGAAGCAGATGAAAGATAAAATGAAGCAACCACTATAATTACAGCTTCTGCGGAGGCCCCGGCCTTCTCAGTAACAGAGAGCAGAAAGAATTCCCCAGAAGCCCATCACCAAACAGGGAGCCTGGCTGGCATGTGATAGTCAGTGAGTGGAACCCCTGAAGTCTATCCAATGCCCTGCCTAGGTCTCCTCAGAACCATATCCCATGGCCCACGTGCAACAGGTCAACTGTGCAATCAGCAACCATGTGAGGTGACTTTACACCCCCTCCCCCTGCATACAACACACTGTTCAGGACTAAACCACATTTTAGTAAAATTGTACATGCTTCAGTCAAGAGCATGCAATTACCCAAATGGATGTTTTTCCAGTAGAAACTTGAATTAAATGTTTTATTTTTTTAAATAGTTCTTAAATGAGTACAGATATTAGCAACCACCAGCCAAGCTAGGGTCTCTGGTGGCTGACCAGTAAGGTTGAAGAGGAAAACTATAAACCATGGCTGTGTGGAGGACTCTTGGTAGTGAATAAGAAGAAAAGTAGAAGGAGTGCTTCCCTAAAGCACAACAAGGCAAGACAACCTCTTTACATTCTCAGAAACCACTCTGGCTTCTGAACATCCCCAGGCCAGAGCAGGAAAGCTACCAACTGCACTGTATAGAAGGTCTGTGTCAGAGCAGGACAGGACCCTCCTTGTCCCTGTGACTTGCAGCCTCACAGTCTTCTCTGCCTAGTCTCCTTATCCCCTCTTCTCTTCGTTTCGGTCAGCCAACAGTTAATGGTCTACTCTGAGTTTGCAAAGTGTAGGAAATGTCCTCATAGGCACCAGATTGGGGTCATGAAATTCATTTCACTCTTACTGTGACCTCTGCCTCTGCAGTATTTCCTGCCACCTGGGGCAGGAGGCTGGTTCCTTCGTTAACCTCGAAGGACTGCCAAAGCTCATTTGAGGATTTCAGTAACACAAGAATCTAGTCGTTTGAGGTCTGGGAGTTCAGATCGACATAGGGCACAGAGCCAGCTGAGAGAAAGCTGGTGAGTTTGGCTATTCTTGCCTCCTGCACTGGGGCCTGAAAAGAGAAACTGGGTAGCACCTTAGCAACGGAGGGAAGAGAAGCATTTTTCCCAAGTTGGCCCTTGGTAAGGAACTGAGCTTTTAGCCTTGCCTGCTAATTCCTTACTCTCACTAACTTCTTCAGCTCCCGTTTATTACACATCTCACCACATGCTGGATCTAGTGCTACGCAGGAATAAGAAGTTATATGCAGGGTGACAAGGCTAAGGGTCAGAGACCAGCATGCCAGGGTGAAGGGATGACATGGAGTAATAGCTAGGAATCATTGAATCCAGGGACACCATCATAGAAAGAGGAAAATTACACTCAAGTTTAAAAGCTACATTAGAGAAGAAAGAATATGGCATATTCAGGAAGACACGTGGTTTTAGATAAATCGGGAAAGGAGTTGCAGTTACACTTAATCACGGGCCCGTGTACAAGGCTCAGGATTTTTAATGCTATTCTGGAATCCACAAGAGGCGAGGAGGCAAGACGATGTGAGCACAGTCAAATTAAGAATCAGGTCTATGTCTTGGGATGTTTATCCTGATAATTCTCCACGAGGCTTGATTAGAAAGAAAATGAATTCAAGACTGCTAACATAATTCAGGGGAAGAACAATGACAGTTGTAACTCAGGGTGTGGATGGAGATGAAGAGAATAGGATGGGAGCTGAGAGGGAATGAGAGGGTATAGGTACCCAATATCTGTACAGAGTCATAGAAGAGAGAACGAGTGACCAAAGTTTGTAGATAGGGTACAGATATCTGGGAGAGTGCAAGTTTGGAGAACACTGAGGGGTCCACTATGGACATGTTGGCTTTGAGTTTTGAATATTATGTCTTCAACCAGGTGGTGTCATCCATGGAACTCTTCCTTTGTGCCTAGTCATCAGGAAGAAGCAAGAACAGAGCCCAACCTGAAGCAGAAATTGCATGGCAGATCGACATGTAATGTAATGTCAGCTGCTTTGTGGAAAGCTCGCCATGTGAAGAGTGAAGGTGTGGGGTCCAGCCTTATTCATCACAGGAAATAGCTAGCTAGCACCCCAGGAATTTCTGTCGCAGTGGCAGGACAACTGATTGTGTACAGACACCTATACCACACCCAAGAAGAAAAGTCTGCCAAATAAAATACTGGGCATCCAATTAACTTTCATCTCATGTAATCAATGTGTTTTAGTCTATGTCCCAAGTAGTGAACAGGATATACATATGCTAAAAGCTCAATAGCTAAATCTAGTAACCTCAGGGGGTATAGAGTATGGTCCAGCTCTAGATTCTGATTGCACTAGGTCCAGAAAACAGTACTAGCTAGTAAAACATAATTTCCTTGAGTAACTAACTGGCTGTGTGGGCTATGTATACCTGCTTGTCCAAAAAAGCCTTGTGCATTGGAACTTTCTGTACAGACTGGTAGAGAGGGAGACAAGGAATGTTGACCTTCCTCTCATGAAGAGGCAAGTTGGCTCTTAGAGGTGCCGGCTCATTGTTGATACCCAACAAATATTTGAATAGAGAAATGGAGTGAGGTAGATTGTGTTGGTACTTTCTCATGAGTAGAAAGGAGACAACAAAACCTTCTTTTGCAGACATATTATAAAGACCAAATAAAATACTTTGGGTAAAATGCCAAACGCAGGCACTCCAAGTTAATTAATGCCCTGCCTGTATTAACTGCTCTGGTCAGTGAGCTCGCATTTCTAACCTTATCTGCCTGTGGCCATTATGGACAAATGGAGACTTTCACAGACATGACATTTTGATTTTAGAATGTTGTTGGGACAACCTAGGGACTTATTATCAATAGGAAAAGAGGTGACATTAACAATGCTATTTATTTTTGGCTTTTGGCTTTGTTTTGTTTTTGAAAGAGTCTCCTGTAGCTCAGGCCGACTTTGGACTTCTTTTGTAGCCAATGCTGGCCTTGAACTCCTGATTCAGTTGTCTGCCTCTTAAGCACTAGGATTGCAGGCTTGTGTCACCAAACCCAGTTAGTAATTTTATTTCATTTTCTAAATGTAGTAAGTAGAAGGTGGGGAAATCCTAAATCCCACTCTCCTGTCAAACCGACTTTGTCACTTGAAATCCACTTGGTGACAGCCATCACTTCCTATTGAGACAGATTCTGAACGCTAGCATAGCCAAGATCCTCAGTGCACAGCCCACAAACCTGTGTGTCCTAGAAGGTCTGAGGTGACTTCTAACCAGGCTAGAGGACACCCCATGGCTCCTTTTCTCAGTGACTGCGAAACTTCCAAGCTGCTCTCCTTGCCCAGTAACCCTGGGTTCCCATCACACTCTGAGCTTGCTGCAGCGGAAGCCGTGCATCCTGCAGGTTTCTGTCTGATTTATCATTGTCATCAGCCTGCTTTCACAATCTCCTTTCAATTCGGAAATGTCTCCTGAAAAGCTGCTTCCTGCTAGGCTATAGTCATCACCCTTTTTGCTTAATCTGCATACTTACTGCTCATTCCCAGTCTGCATAGTTCATGTGCCTTCCTCTGCCTGGAAATACCATGGCTGCTTTGTACTAGCAACTTTTCCTAGCTCTTGCTTAGCCTGCCAGGCATCCTCTGGCTCCTGGGACCACAGGTCCTTCTTTATCTCTAAATTTCCAAGAAAGGTACCTTGTCATCTTTCACTTGGAACCCTCAAATTGAAAAACGAAACAAAACAGAAAAACTATTTAATTACAGCTAATTATGTGTATGTATGCCACAGTGCACATATGAAGGTTGGAACACAACTTGCAGGCATCCGCTCCCTCCTTCTGACATGTGAGTCCCATGATTTAAACTTAAGTTGTCATGCTTGGTGACAGGAACCTTTACCTACTGACCCATCTATCTCTCTGACCCTCTACCTTGATATTGGTACTTAATTTCTTCTGAATGTTCTATCTCCTAATC